TTTAACCCTTTCGCTACTACGGGTGACTATAGTCACCCGCCACAAAACGACACCTGCATACGATGGGTGACTATAGTCACCGGTCACAAGATGCCACCTATACACGACGGGTGACTATAGTCACCGGTCGCAACAATGGAGCCAAAAGTTAAAACAAGGGCTATCGCCTCGCTTTCCTCTGTTCGCAGACGCTATCATCTACCAAAAACTACGATCAATTGTAATAAATCTGGTCATATTAATCCAACGTTTTTGAAGCAAAAGACTTGGCCCCGGATGCTGAAGACTGCGCGCGCTTAATGTTCCTGCTTTCGGCAGGGTGCTCCGTTCTACACGAGGGACTCCGCGGCAAGGCCCGCCGTAGCGAAAGGGTGAAAGTCTGCCCAACGAGACGAGAGATTAGACATAAGCATGTACACGGAACAGGCTCGCAAGATCGAGATACTTACGAATTAGAAAATAACAAAAAAGAAATAGTGATGGTTTTTTGAAAATCACAAAAAGATAGATTTTCTAGACTCAATAATTTGAAATACCTTAGTACAATATATTTTCAAAATACCTTTTTGATGCACGCGAAGTACAACGATACAAGCCAATAATCGTGTTCCACATAATTATCGAAACTTACGAACTTCATCTGAACTGACAATACAAAGACACTGCCGAAGCATCTGTTATTCATTGTTCACATTTCGGTGGACAGCCAGTTTTGGCATCCGAGAAGAAGAACAAGCTTAACACGTTCACCGCGTTCAAGGTGTAAACGTTCGGAGTCTTCAGGTTACAGTTCGCAACGAACACTTTTGCCATCTTCATGATGCTCTCGCACTTCATCACGCAAGCCGCTCCGTCGAAGTTCGGTCTGCCTTGATCGTCCCTCGCGCATGGATCGAACAGGTAGAACTTGCCGTAATGCTGCATCACAGCGACCGCTACATTGGTCGTGTGAAGTATGCCGGCGCAGTTGAACTTAAAGAACATGGACAACGATTCGGACAAGTCGAAAGCAAGGAGTAAACCAGCAGCGGTATGATTATGGACGTGAATCGTAGCTCTGAAGTCACCAACGATGAACACCGTGAGGAGTTCGCTGGGCGATAAGTTCCTGGAGCCTGGACGGGCGGCACGCACGGTGTCCAGGTGCAATAGATTACCGTACTTGAGTATGGCGTCGATCAGTTCGGGTGTCCAAGTCGAAGGGACATGAAGCAGGCCCACGACTATGGCGACAGCAGACATAGCAGTGCTCTGGTAGCCTCTGCTGGTGCCACTCCAGGTACGGTGGTGCATGTGCAAGGTGCCGCGCAGCACGCTGAGCTTCTCGTCCACGAAGTTGTATTCCGTTACAGTTTCCACGTCCAACGTCGTGTTCTTGTCCCCATGTGTCACAGGAATAGGTGGAGAGACGCAGTCGAAGTGTGGTCTGAACCCAGCTGGGCAAGGCAGAGGTTCGATATTAGCGGTCTTGATGATGACTCTGCAGATCTGATAGCGACCATACTTCTCCTGTTCGTCGATGTTGGTGAACAAGACCTCGTACATAGGCTCGATACAAGCAAACCACATGACGCAAGAGGTTCCGTAGAAGTCAGCCAGACCTTGATCGCTACGTGCTCTAGGGTCGTACATGAAGTAGATCCCCATATCCTTCCATATCGCCACGGCTCCTCGATCGGTGACCAAGACACCGGCTCGATTGTTCTCGAAGAACTTCTGGATTCCTTGTTCCAATAAAATGGGCGGAGGAGGTGGCGGCCGAACTCTGGTAGATCCTCTAGCTTTCTTCGACGACCTGCCAGCTTTGGCCCTCCTCGTCCCGCCACGTTTCTTCTTTTTCTTCTCTTCGGGCTGAGGAGGGGGAATAGCTATTATGCCGGTTACCGTGCTAGCCTCTATGTCAGCAGTCAGAATATTCACTCCTACGTAGAACACTCTGATAATGTCCTTAGGTTTGATTCTCACGATCGTCGGCTTCGCCTTCTCGGTAAGCCTGTGCACGTTGGCGCCGATGGCTAGAATCTCGTCCATCGTTCTCTTTGTCCAGGTGATCGGGTTCTTCACGACAGACATGCCAATGGCGACCACGCAGTTAGCGGCTGTCTGCTTGTTCCTGAACGATTCGGGAAAGATTCTGTCCCCCTGATGGTAAGATCCGCGAAGAATCGCTCTAGCCTCGCCCTGCACTCTCCTGTAAGCATTCAAAGGAGGCAGGTTCGAAGGTCGAACAGCCGCACTGGGGTCGAACTTCCATGGAGGGAACTTGTTCCAGTTAAGCACGTCTATAACGATCATTTCGTAATCGCTCTCAGTGCCTAGAAAGTTGATCAAATACTCCACCAGAATCTCGGTGTTGGCCATTCTTAAAACTTTCGGAGCACTCGATGATCCATCTGCAGGATCGGCAACCCAATCAGGTATTAGAGTGTAATAAACGTTATCGAACTTCCAAACTGGGATGTTTCTATTCCCGCTAACAGTTAATGCGCCGGAAGAATATCGCGAGAAGAACTTATCTACTCCATCCTTCAGTCCTTGCACCTTTGGCGGCTTGGCCGTCAAGCTTCCGGCTTCGACGCAATCCTTGATGCTCAGATTGATGCGGCGGGTTGAAAGAAAGAACTCGGTCATGATCTCGTTGATCCTAGGTATCGCACCTCCGCCTAGTCTGTCGACGCACTTCGAGTGTAGCTTATCGCCCGTAACGATCACTTCATCGAGGACTGCTTGGGTCCAGTATCTAGGTTCGTAAACCTTCGCGAAAACGACGGCCACCACGGCTATTGCCGCAGTCTGTTGATTCCGGTTCACTTCTTCGAATCTCTCATTGTCCATTTTAATCGTGCCATCGATACCCCAGACGTCGTCCTTCATCTTGACGAAGTGGTACCAAGCTTTATCTCCCGAGGTCGGCTTGGCCGCTCGTTCTTCCTCGGCTACTCTGGTTTCATAAGCGTTACTCAAAGTAACCGCGTCTACGATGTAATCATCGCCAGTGGCAACTTGTGCAATCGCCGCTGCCAACGACGCGGCATCCGTGAACCACATTATAACAGCTGCGCCGTCTTTCTCGCGAGGTTCGCCTCTCGAGTCCCTTCCTTTAGGGTCCATAGCGAACAAAACTTCCCCTTCTCTCCAAATGGGCATCATGATGTTGTCCTGTCTAAATATGCCCATCGTGGTCGTATCGAAGAAAGTGTCCAACTGGGTCTCCAAATCCGTCATTTTACCAGCGACGTTCTCAGTTTCCAGCTCCACGTTCATTCTGTTTACCCCGACGTTGAACTCCTCGCCGATTTCTTCGGGGAGTAGATAATTCCTAGGCGTCTCCTCCTCTTCTGTCTCCTCTATCGGAATATTCTCCAAGTTCTCAGTCGCAATCTTATCGCCTATCTTCAAGATATCATCAACCACTTCTCTGTACCATAGGTGAGGATTGTACAGTTTCGTCATAGCCAAGGCCGCCAAGGCGCTGGCAGCCTGCTGTTTATCCCTGGTCTGACGTTTGAACATCATCTCGTTGGCCTGGTTGAAGCTTCCCATCAAAATGGCACCGCTCTCTCCCATGTTTTGGTAATTGTTGAGATCAGGTTTCACCGGGATCAACTTGTCTGCGTCGATCTCTTCCTCGGTCATCTCGTTGCCGATTTGAATACTCTTCATAGCGTGTATGACAAATTCGTCGCCGGTAGTCTCTTCGTCTTGCTCCGCGTTCGCTTGTATCAGCTTAGCCAAAACCGGTAAATCCAATGTTCTTACCACACAGGCCACAGCGACTTCTTCCTCGTCCATCTCCGTCAAACCGCGATTGTTCCTTGGGTTAGGATCAAAACAGTAATAGACAGGCTGCTGAATTATTTCCTCCTTCTCTTTCACGTCTTCTTCCGTTTTCCACACGGCTACGCTCATGTTCTTGACGTCGACGATACCGTAGTGATTGTCTTCGAAAAACTGCTTCAAGGCTCTCGTTAGATTCAGAAAGTCGCTGTCATCCGCTGCCGACAAATTTCCGATCACCGTTCCTTCTTCTACGTCGATCTTCACCTTTCTGTTCTTGTAGTACAAATTCTTCTTCAAGTTAGAGACGAAGAAATACCTCGCCTCGTCTTCCTCCGTTTCCATCGGAGGATTGCACCAGGTATAATACGCGTCACCCTCCTGTAGAGCAACGTCGATAGTCTCGCTCGTCCATTTCGCAGGTGGGGTTTCCTTAGCAGCGATCAAACCAACCACCGGCATAGCCAGACCCTGGTTTCCCCTATTTTCATCTTCGAATTCTTCATCCTCGTTGGACGTGGTACCACGAAGCACCCAAGTTTCGCCAGGTGTACCTGATTGGAAGTCGTGCCATGGCCTGGACCCAGGAATATCGTCGAGTATAGTTATGTGCCTGATCGTGAATCGATCATTCTTCTTGGACAGTTCAAGATCCTTCCAGAAGAGGATAGCCAGAGTATCGGTGCTCGGGAACCTCATTACACAGCAATTTCCCTTTTTCTTGTCTTCCCCGTTTTTACCTTTCCCTTTTTCCTCCCGGATCCTGACGCCGTTGGTGTCGCATTGCCGAGGATCGAACATGTAATAGCAATCATCCTGGCTCCAAATCGCTACGGACATCGACGAAGACTCGATGATGCCTTCCGTGTTCACTAAGAAGAACTCTTCCAGAGCCTGCTTCAAGTTCAACACCGAGGGAATCTTGGAGCTGACGGTGCCAGCGACCGTGATAAGATCCACGTCGATTACCAGCTTCCGATTCTCCAGCTGAAGCTTCACGTCAGACAAATCCGACGCCGTCATGGACTTGATGGTCGGCTTCTCGGCCTTCACATCCGCGTAAAGAGCATCCCCATGAGTCAGAATCTCGTCCAGTTTCGGTCTCAGCCACGTCTTCACCGGATGGACCTTCTTCATCGCGATAGCCATCACGCAGTTCGCTACATTCTGAGCTCCTTTGCCTTTGTAAACGTCGCTGTGCTCGTGGGTCAGCCCATGGAGGATAGCCATGTAACCGGACAGCTCTCTGAACGTCGACGGGACATTCGCGTGCATGTTCTCGTAGGTGTAGCCTGTGTCGAATTTGTTTTGATCTACTAGAGGCTGGGTGGCGAATTTCTTATCTATACTGTAGTTCGAGATGGTGATCGATAAAGGTTCCCTGTGGATCTTGGCCTGCGTGACAACCTTCGCTTTGTCTCCTTTAGGGGCTGGCTTGGTGCAATCCATCTTGTTCTCATCGATATCAACGGGGTTGATGGCGCGTAAGACACTTTTATCGACAGTTAAGCGGTTACTGCTTGGAGTACGGTCGATGTAGCCACCACCGACCTCGCTAACCCGTAGGACAGTTACCTTGTCGATGCAGTATCTAGAATCATAACGTTGATCCATACTCTTCAGAAAATGGCTCCTGAGATCGTTCATACATTTGAACCGCATGACGCAGGCTACGCCGTCAGCGTGACGAACACCATCCTCGTCGCATGGTGCAGGATCGAAGTAGAGGAAACCAATTTCCGGATGTCGCCACATAGCAATGGACGTCCCTTGCGCAGTGATCACCGCGGAATCGGATGCCTGGAAAAACTTCCGCAAACCGTCCGCGAAATCAGGACAACCAACTGTCTCGCTGAAGAGGTTTCCATAAATTCCAGTTTCCTCGACGCAGACCATAACCTTGTAGTTAGATATATAGAACTCCGGGTGAATCAGTCTGGCCTTCATGTACTCGTCCTCCTTCACGTGGTTCCTCATGGCGCTCGTGCGGTACACTTTGTCGGCGTTCTCCAACACCTGGTCCACGTAATCCTTGATCCACTCTTTCGGCTCGAACAGACGACCATAGACGATGGCCACCACGGAAGCTGGAGCTGCTTGCCGACCACGACTTCGGTATTTGAAGTGAAGATCGTTCATCGCGAACGATCCACGAAGAATCGCGGAGTTCGGGGTCAAAGCGCGGAATTTGTGCCATCTTCTGCCCACAGGTCGTGCGACTGGCTTCTTTGGAGAAGTATCACCCTCTCCTACTGTTCCTGGAGCATCGTCCTGCTTCTCTCCTTCCTTCTTAACGTCTTCTTTTTTTTTAACGCTTTCAATTTTCTTAACATCTTCCTTCTTTTTTACATCCTCCTTTTTTTTAACGTCTTCTTTTGGTTTAACGTCTTCTTTCTTTTTAATGTCTTCCTTCTTAGCGGCTGGTGTAGCCATGTTGTATCTGGACTCGCGTCATCATTGTAAAGAGGAATTCGTTTAATTGGATTGGTAAGTTTTAAGATTAAGGAAATTTGTTTAGTCTATGATACATATCGCGAAACGTTTGTAAATGTCTGTGCTTCGATTTGGTTAAAATTGTCAGAATGTGGGTTTATTTCAGATAAAAATAGGGGCTGTACATTGATTGCTGCTTATATTACATGTTGTTTAATTTTAAAAGGAGATATTTAAATTGTAAAATTTTCTTTGAATTTATACTAGCTTACAAGATTCTAATTTATGACAATTAAGATTACAAATGCTGTGGAAGTTTCTATGGGAAACTAATAAAACGTAAAAAGATTGTTAAGGCCAATATAACTATCTTCTAATAAATTATTATCTACTCTGTTGTATCTAAACTTTATAGAATTTTACGGTACAAAAGCAAATAAGAATTTGCGAATGCTTATTTACAAATTGCGTAAATTCAAAGTTTTGCGGATTGTTTTATAATGTATGAATGTATACAAAAAATTGATTTCCATTGTTATAATGTTATGACATCGATCAACGATAGAAATTAGGAAGTTATAAATTTATTTTTATTATTATTATATACTCTGATATTCATAAGCTTGGAGAATATCTGGATAGAACTATATATTGATCTTATTTTTTCAAAGAACACAGTTTCAGTTTTGTTTGTATTGAGATACATATGTAAGATACACATACTTGCTTGTTGTTTTCAATAGTTACTAATTTCGATGCATTGTTTTTATAATTTTGGAATTTTGAACATTAAGAGTTCTGGTTTCTTTTACTTGTCAATTTTTCTACTCATGTATGAAAATGAAATTTGTCAGGAAACGTCAAATACAAACGAGATAACAATTGAACCCCGTATCGATACGTCGAAAAGCCGCTAATAATTACAGCATACAATAAATCAAAATAATTTTTAGACGAGTATAAAGTTTGTACACATAATGAATTGGTAAAACTTCAAGCACATTATGAGCAAACGCGTTGAATTTCGAATGCATAAAATACAGAAATATTATATTCATGAGTATCTTGATAAAACCTCATTTTTAAGTTTTGCCAATCATGAATGTCACATCAAAGATACTATAAGTTATTAAGTTATTAAAGATGCTTACTTAGCATGACATTATTAAATTTGTAATTTGACTTACCTGGCGAAACATCTCCCAAGTTCTATTAGGTTGGTGCGTATGAAATGTCGGATTCTCTTTACATGCGGACGTTTGTCTCCCTGTTTTCGTTATACTTTTGTCTTTGACATAACCTCATTCATAATCGTATTGTCCATTGCCAGAGACTCATTTCAGCAAAATAGGTTTTCTCGAAGGTCTTCCCTTTTGTTATTTCTTTTAAGTTTATTGCCGATATGAATTCTGCCGACATTCGCGTCATTTTCTTATATGAGTACAAACTTGGTAATAGTGCTGCAAAAGCTGCACGCAACATAAACCAAGCGTTTGGGGAGAATACGGTTAACGATCGGAAAGTGCAGCGTTGGTTCGAAAAATTTCGGACTGGCGATTTTTCACTGCAAAATGAGCCGCGCGGAAGACCCAAAACGTCTGTGAAGAATGATGACCTGAAGGCTCTAGTGGAAGCGGATCCAGCCCTATCCACGAGGGAACTTGCTATCAGGATGAAAGTTGACCATACAACGATATTGAGACACCTTTCTGAGATTGGCAAGGTTAAGAAGATGGACAAGTGGGTACCACAC